ATCTTAAAGAATACGACCGTATTTCAACATTCGATCTTTCATATAGGTAAGGAATATGAAACTACTTAGGTGTAGAGAAGAAGGTGATGGAATTGGTGGAAACTTGTGAACTTAATAAAAGCATCTAATATTGAGTACTTGAGGCATCAGCAAGTTACTGGCCATGGGGCGAATTCTTTTAAGCCACCGATACTGATTCAATCTGTGGAGTTACCCAAGCCTCGGTGGCAATTAGATACAGTGTACTTGGTCAAACCCACTCCAATTATTCAAGTCTATTAGAAGTATTCATATTATATGTAAAAGTTCATGTTAGTCCTTTTACTTTAAAAATGAACATTTTGATCCATGTATTATTCTTGAAAATTCATTTTAATCCCCTACTATTAACAATAACATTTCGGACAAAAGTTCCCAGATAATGCTTCCCACTTTTTTAATTCCTCAGATAATGCATCCTGGGAATTATTTCCCAGGATATGCCATTTGTTACAGTAAAGGATGAAGACGTCGTGTAATCGCCTTGACATGTTGAAGATGCCAGGATTTCTATGTGTCTTTAAGCCAAAACCGAGCATAGTGAAGACGCAATGTAATCTCTTCGTTTTGGAGATGAAGACTAGGGGATTACCATGCGTCTTCAATGCAATTCTCGTGCCTTCTATAAGCCTGCATCACCACTGTCGTCCGAGCAGCACAACTGCCTTGATGCATGCATGCGCTCATGAAGGCTACTTCATGCACGTGAAGGTCTAGGGTTTTAGGTGCTTCATCAATGGTCATGCATGCAAAGTAGGTGTTGAAGAAATTATTGGTTTGGATGGGTTGGTGAGTGGTTATTATGTTATATATTGGAGTGTGGATAGTTTGTTTACCTATCCGGTGAAACCATAAAAAAATTGTGTAGTTGAAAGAGAAGAAAGAAATTGGGCGTCGAAGAAACTAGTGAAAGCAAACAAGTGGGATATTAAGCACTTTTATTTAGTTGGACATTATCATTGTGTGGTGATCGGTATATTCATTCAAAATATAAAGTTGTAAGTATATATATATATATTTTTTATTTCTTTTATTGTTATGTCTTAATTTATATTTTTTTATTCAAATTAATTTATGTTAATTTTTTGTATTGATTTGTTGAAGTATGGAAGCAGAAAATAATCTTCTAAGACTAGATGATCGACATTTTTCTTCTCATTTGGGAGTGTTGGTATTCGTATTTAATATAATTTTTTTAGAATGTCTTATTAAAAACGAAAATTATTTTTATGATTAATTCAATGTATTAAAAAATTACAGAAAGACGAGTAGGAACACCTTCGATTACAAATCAATGTTTGTGATGAGCCACATTATTTTATTATCCATAATTTGAAAGTGGTTGGATTTTACGATGTCACGTTTGTTCGAGACTTCAAGTTGGTCACTGATTTGATCAGTGTGTTGATTGAATGATGGAGACCTGAAACTCATACATTTTATCTATCATATGGAGAATGCATAATCACTCTCGAGGACGTGGACCTACAACTTAAGATCCAGATAAATGGGACGGTAGTGGTAAGGAAAACTAAAAAGAACCCAAAATTAGTTTGTGAGAAGTACCTCGGGAAGACGCCACCACCAGGAATTTGAAAAGGGTCGCGTTTGAAGCTATCATGGTTAGAAGACGAATTTAAGCTCGAACATTATAGTACCTATGAAGAAGTTATATATGCAACTCGAGCATATATACTCCAACTAATTGGGAGAATTTTTATTCTGGATAAATCCGGTAATTTAGTTCATGTACAATATCTCCCATTGTTGGACTTGTTTTGGGAAACTGGTAAATATAGTTAGGGATAAGCAATTGGCGTTCTTGTACCGCGAGATGTGCAAGGTGTCATTAGTCACAGATAATAAATTTACAGTAGAAATTGATGGATGTTTGATGTTGCTACAGTCGTGGGTTTGACATACACTTTCATTTTTAACACCGATTAGTCGAGTTGAGATTGAATTTTCTCTTGCCGGAATGTAAAATTTTGATTTAAAATATTAGTTTGAATTTATTTATTTTCTTGAATATGGAAACAATTTTCTAATATTATTTTATTTGCTATAAAGATAGAGGCATAAAATAGAAGAAACGATGTTGTCACAAGCAAAAATGAAGTATATAATATTGATTTACTATTTATTTATTTATTTATAATTATATAATTTACTATTTATTTATTTATATATTTACTATTTATTTATATACTTTATTTGGAGGTCGTATGATATTGGAGAAATAATATCATTTGTACCGCCACATGCGCAACATATTTGGGAGGGTTGTGAATATTGGTGTGCTACTACACCCTTTATACATTTTGTTTTTGTTGAGTACCAGAGGGTCGATAGAGTGTTGAGGCAGTTCGGTTTCTACCAGCCTATTCCGTGAATTCTAGAAAATGATGATGGTCTCCACACAATAGATGCACAGTGCAGGCCCGTAGTTGATTGGGTTACGAAGCATGCCTACTACATCAATCTTTGGAACAACATAGCAGCGTTGATGTCGACTTTCACTCCTGTTCAAGATGTTGACTTCGATTTGCAAATTCGGCTTACCATATCTATTATTGGGATAATGGGAAGCCGTACTTGACAACAACCACAGAAAGGAAGAGATTTAAAGCATATATGAAAAAATTTAGTAAAAGCAGAAAATCTAGACTATGTGGAAGTTCAGCTCAACATGAAGCGAAAACAATACCACTGGATCAAGAGTTTGATGATTCAGGTGAAAAACGATCAACATGATAGTCGTGGGACGAGCATATGAATCAAAGATTGAGTCCGATCATATAGGAAAATGGTAATACGATAGTAGGTGACGACTCATCAGTTCATTAAGCGTTTGATGATTCGACTGTTACTCCCTATAGACCTGAGTTTATTCCACCTCCTCAAACACCCATCAACTACGATCCCATGTTTAGATCGACATTTGATTTTGATGACATGACATCTATGATGTCAAATACGACTATTTGTCATCCACTAGAGATGGGAGGGCAGAGTGGTCTGGAAGAATTTATAACACCGGAGAATATACCCTCGGTGAATGAGTAGGTTGCCTATGATGATCAGACTCCTGAGCAACCACAACGACCACAACGAAATCGTCGAGTCCCTCGACATTATTATTCAACAACACCCCGTCATCGGAAAGAATTATAAATGTTTCCTTGATCTTTTTATGAAAATTATTATTATAAATGTTTCCTTCAACAACACACTCGGTCAAACTTGCTTGAAGGTCGGCCCACTGTAGTTTTCAACCAGTTTGGACCTAGTCACACCATAGGGTAACAAAGTCCAAAGACAACAATAATAGTTAGAGAAAACTACCTAGAAGGTCATTCAACGTTTATTATGTTAATGTTTTGATCACTTCAAAACCTTTTATTTTTGTCAATCAATTTCTACGACGTTAAACCTATAAAAACGGCTAACATCGGGGACTTGACTTTTAGGCACTATTATTTTGGTCAGCCAAACACTTTATATATTATCATATAATTGATTCATTCTATATATATATATATATATATATATATATATATATATATATATATATATATATATATATATTTAGTTTTATAACCTTTTTAAGATTGTTGGATGAGTAAAACAAATTAATGAAATCTATAACAGTAAATGAAAAGATATTTACTGAAAAAAATAAATAATCTCAATTATTTATTTTCACATGTCTAACGATTCTAAAAAATATAAAATTAAAAATTTTACAGTTAGTATAAGTAAATTCTAAATATATATATGAAAAAATATAATTTACGTAAATTATTATAATTTAATGAAAATAAAAAAAATCATAAACCATTAATTTTAAAACCCTAAATTCATTCTTAGCAATTTAAAATTGATTTATAATTGAATTATGATTTTGTAGTAATTTTACGAGAAGATATTTCCAATATACATTGTTTTTCATCTCATTTGTCATATAGAATAAAAATACTTCAACTAAAAGTATCTTTAATAAAATATAATTATTTAGATATATCTTTATCTTATATAATTTAAAAAAATATTATATGCACGAATCGAATGACCTTAATGATAAAATGAATTGTTGTTATTCCTTGAGGCATCATGTTTGACTATCAATAATGTTAAGGATGTGACTGTTAATATCAAATGTTTAAGAGTTATTTTTAAACAGATATTGTTTTATATTTACCCCATATTAATAAAAAATATTATATATTTTAAATAATTTCTTTAAAATAGTATCACTTAATTTTTAAAAGATGAATATTATTTTTATAAATTTATTAAGATGTAGGGAGTATTTTAATACAAAAAGTTAAAAGGACTTTCTCGAAACTTATGATAACTAAAACTAAATCGATAGATTTTCAATAAAAATATATAAAATAACAAATAACAAATTTTTACTTAATTTTTAAGTTTATTTTTGACTTGTCTGACATTCTTCATCTTTCAATGGAACTAACATCAATGTATAATTAAATTTAATACCTTAACACAATTTTAGTGCAATTTAGATTTGATTAAGCTTATATTTTATGTTCCATCTATACATATTATAAACATCAGTTTTTAAACAGATAAAAGAATAAAAATATTTATTAAATATTATAAAATAAGATGAAATAATTATCAAGTCTTGGGTTATAGTATTCTTCCTTTAAGAACCGAATAAAAGACCCAGCTTTCATCATTAAAAGAGCTTAACAAACGTTGACACCACAGAGAAAAACCCAATAGGATCATATACATTGCCGAATGTCTAATTAATTGACTCGATTGGCAGCTTGATTTTTGTACAATTTTCTCTCCATATTCGGAGTTCAGAAACTTAACAATAACATGCAAATCTCTACTTCCCGACCCGACACACTTTAATTACAAAACAAAAAACAACACGATATGGCTATCGACACGACCATCTTCCATCTTGCGAGATGGTTCCTAAACACCTAACAACAGCTATGTTCTTATTTTGTTCAAGAAACTCATCTACTTGCATTTCACTACATACAAAGAACCCCTACAAAAATATTTACATTAAAGGATTCCTTTTCACCGATGACTTCAAAATTCCACGGTTTTAAAACTGGTATTTTGTAAAAGCTCCTCTTCCTTGTTACCTATTTACTCTTTTTGTGGATTGGAATGGGTTCTAAGCCAGTGCAGGGATGCTGCAATTCCGGCTATCCCTGTCAAGGCAGTCGAACCCCTCAACTCTAACAGCTGGTTTGTTACCAAAATTTGCCCGAACACAGCTCCCTTTCCTTGGCCCGGATGAAGACGGCGAGGACAAGCCAGAAGGAGGCGGGATTTGAGATAGTAGTGGAAATGGGGTGGTGGTCTTCTCATCCCCAAATCGAGCATCATGTATTAATGGGTTAGCTGCTCTGCTCGGCGGCGACCCGCAAAAAAATGGGGCCGCCGCCACTACATTTGCACAACTTTCTTCCGCTCCACAACCACCCTGTTATATCCCAAAACCAATAGCCATATGGATTTTATAAGAATCGATATACTAAAACATAAAGTTCTAATTACTGAACTCTATTCTTTTGGTAACTCTTTAGCTGGCACGTGAGCAACAACCTTAGTTTCCTCTATAATTAAGTCCATCACAATTCCTATTTTTTAACAAGTTAAACATAATTTAGGATTATAACTAAAATTAGGTGAAAGAAACATACCTTTGTAAAAATCATATCCAAAACATCACTCCCAGGTTTTGAATCACAAAGCTCCCCTTGATGACTGAAAAAACATCAAACAAATATGTCATTTCTTTGCTTCATGGGGTGAAATTAAAAAGGGAGAGAGGATCAAACGACATAAAAAGCGGTGGAAATTACCTAAATTGTCTTCTAAGGGACCTAACAGGATGGTCGTTGAAGGAGGAGTTTAAGAAACCTAAACGACGTGGTTTCGGGCAGACCATGGTCTCTCCCCGATCTGTAACCATAACTGACATCGGAAAGGAGCTTCGCATCTCCTCACGCCTGCTTCCGATCGAGTTTTGCTGGATCGCACACTGCTTCATCTTTTACCTGTCACCGGTATTTTTAATTTACTATTGACAAATAGTTTACCTGTTCACCACAAACATGCTTAAAAAATCATCCTCCTACAATAGAAACCAAGATATAACTGTCGAAATTTCTTTTCAAGATTAAAATTCCACAAATCACTAAAATCAGCTTTAAATCCACAGATCTGCTCACATAAATTAAAACAAAACATATTTAAGCAGATCGCTAATTAATTTCATCACATATCTACCTAGGCTTAGCAAAAAGTGATGTAAAAACAAAAACCAAGCGCCAATTTTCTAAATCTAGTTTCCGGTAAAGAAAAGATCCAGATCAAGGAACACATGATTCAGAGCTTCAGAAAAAAAGCCATGGATCTTCCAAAAAGATCAACAGAGAGCTAATAGAGAAAAACTTACCTTAGCTTTTAACCGTAAAGCGCCTCTGAAATTCTAGCAGAAATGAAGAAAAAAACAAAAAATTAGGAGAAAGTACAGAGGAGGATGCTAAATGAGAGGTCTAGTGTGATTTATAGAAGAGGCAATAGAATCACACAAAAAATGGATTAATTAATTAATTAAAAAAGGAAAAGGCATGCGGGGAGCAAGCGCCTGCAAAGCAACTACTTCTCTGTAATATGGTCTGGCTGGGCTGTCGCATTTATTTATTCATTTATGTAGCATTTAAAATGAATAAATAAATAAATAACTATTTTTTTAATAAAATATCACGAAGGCGTTGCCTGCCAGCAGCGAGAAATATCAAGGAACCAACAAATTTTTACGAACCAATAGATGGGAAGCGAAGATCCGTGTGGTTTGCTTTTGGACACGTGTTACTTACTTTATGGTTTTGGTTTTCAAATTTTAGGGTTTAGGAACGTGATCGGCATGGGTTTGGTTCGAGTTGTGGTTCTTATTATCTTTTGGGTAAATTATGTGTTTAGTATCTAAACTATTAGTTTTTGTCCATTTTAGTAACTAAACTTTTAACTTCTCCAAAATCATACACAACAATTAGTGTTTGTTTCATTTAATATCCATTCAAAATTTAATGTTAATTTTTCAAAAAATTGAAAGTTTAGGTACTAAAATGGTACTAAATGAGTTAAGTTTTTAATGGTGATGTACTAAAGTGAAACAAAAACTAAATGTTAAGTATGATTATAAAAAAATTGGAAGTTTAGATACTAAAACATACCAAAACTGATAGTTTAGATCATCAATGTGTAGTTTACCTTTTTTTTTGGCTAATTACATACGATCTTTTAATTATAAAAAAATTTATTTGGTCATTATTTTTTTTGAATTTTATCGATCGAACGATTTAATTATTTAAATGTTGTTAATAAAAATCATATTTTTTATTAGCTAAAGTGGTTACAAGTATATATATTCTAATTACTTCCAACCATTTGACAATGAACGTTCAATCACCTTGTTGCAGTCACTGGTGCTCAAACACGTGATCTCTACAATGATTAGCAATTCCTTTAACCACTAAGGTGATTTAGTTTGTGCATATGTTATTAACATTTGAGAGGGGAGTTAATATGGTAGTTAATAAAATTAATATAATTATATATTAAATCCTTATTATTTATATATTATATCAATTTCGCATAATTTTCAATAAATTTAATTATTCAATTAGATTGTTATATGTCAACATCTAATTGGAAAAAAAATAATAAAATTAAATAAATTAAAACTAAGAAGAAAAAATCTTCAATCAGATAGTGACACTTGTCACTAGTGACATATATACATCATTTAATTGAATGACTAAATCTATTAGATTAAATTAAAATTAAGACCAAAATAATATAATGTATAAATCATACGAACCAAATATATAATCATATCAATTTTATTAACTATCATGTTAACTTATATGCCCAATGTTAATGATATATTACTCGATTGAATTCTTTTAAATAATTAAATAAATCGGTTGAAAAAAATAAAAGAATCAATGATTAAATTAAAATAACCTCACAATTGAATTGTCATAGTATAATTTACCCCTTTCTTAAAACTCGTACGAAACGGTGATCGAGTGTTCGGGAATTATGCTTAATCCACTGGTTTATTTTTATTTTAATAGTTTGTCATCTCGATTTTAAGGTTTTACTTTGATTAATATAAATTAACTCGCGTCGTAATTTTAGTTTTAAAAGATGAGTCTTTTAATAGAGATTTTTTACGTACACAAATACTAAAACTCAAAATATTACTTAAATTATATCGACTGTTTATCGCTTGAACCAATATCTGTTGATCATTGATGACGTTTATTAAGTTTTAATTCTCAATTTTATTAGATATTTCTCTATAACTCTCTACTGTATTTAATCACGTAAAATTTTATATTAAAAATAATTTTAAAAAAAATCAATTTATAAAAATAGAAAAAATATTAATAAAAATATAACAACAATTATTTTCCCCAACCTCACCTATATTCCTACAAGGCTACTATCATAGCTAACTCGAGTAACATAGCAACTATCGTAGGCCTATTAAGGAGATCCGAACTAATCCGGACGGTTTTTCATTTTAAAAATTTAATTTCAGTCGTATTCTTTAAAATGTGTAGTTGAATAGAGTTAGATCAAATTTAATTTTAGAGTGAGAAATTTGATTCGAATTTATATAATGTTATAATTATTATTTGTATATTTAAATATTATATAATAATATTTCTTTTATATTAACTTTTTAAAAATATAACCTGATTTTAATAAAAAAAAATAAACTTTTACATATATATATCAAATCTAATCGAATGTGAATTTATGGCCTAAAACATTGAATTGAATTTTGAATCAAGTAGATCCTCTTAAACCTGGATTAAATCAAGTGTACGTGAATTAATTTAATTTTCGATTAAATTTGAATAGGTCAAAAATCCAATCGTACCGGACGTATTGTCATCCCTTGCCTATTAATACAGCTTGCACTTTCATTTCCAACGCCATGGCTAGTGGCTACACGGTGGGAAGTAGGGATGGACAGGGTGGGGTCGGGTTGAGTTTTTATCTATTCGATCTAATCCGAGAATAAAAGATCCTTCATTCGAAACTTGATCCGACTAAAATAAAATTTCACCCGACCCGACATATAACTTAGAAACTCAACCTGACCAGACCCGAAATAATAATAAAAATATTTTTTTATTTAATAAAAACAGACTTAATTGAAAAATATATATATATATAGAGGGGTATTATTGTAATTATTTCTAAATATATAAGATATAATTATATATTTTTTCGGGTCGGGTATTTTTCACCCTAAACCCGAACCCGACTGAACATCACACTTAAAAAAACCGTCCCGACATGCCCCAAACCCAATTTTTTTTTAAAAAAAATCGATCCGATCGGGTCGGATTAGGTCGAAACCCTTCAAATTCGGGTCTCATGCCCATCCCTAACGGGAAGCCCTACACCAAATGCTTCAATGGTTTAATTCAAACCCAAAACATCTAAATAAAAAATAGTAAACAACCTACGGGCTGAAGATCCATGACCAAACACTACGAGCTTTGGTCTCTAAACCACCCCCAAACTCGTAATCAGATTTAGCCGATCCAAAATATTACCATCTTAAGTCACATTTTTATGGTTTATTTTTTAAGAGTTTTGAAGGGTTTTATAATAGGTTTGTGGAGTTTGTGGTATTTTTTTGATAAAACGAATATTAAATTCGTTTTTCACGATGTTGAAAAGGAGTGAACTAATAATTTAGGATCTAATGATTGACAGTGATCAATGACGGTTACCAACTGTGATGAACGGAGGTCAAGGACTTTTACAGGATTCAAAGGTTAAATCGATATTTTATCTAAAATTTATAGGATAAAATTAATATTTTATATAAAATTTAGAGGTTAAAATTAATATTTTATTTTTATTTTATGGTAAAATTAGTAATTTGATTAAAATCCAAAAACCAAGTTGAAAATTAACTATTTCTAATAACATATCATGTCATCGTGTCATGGAACTAATGAAAGTTAAGGCTGAATTATTAAAATAAAGACAGATCGAAAATAAAGGTGACTGGAATGTAATGTTTTTAAAACCGTTAACCAAAATAATATAGACTAAAAACAAAAGAGACCACCATTGTAATTTTTCTTTATATAAAATATTATATTTTAGGATAAAGTGCATAAATGGTCATCGACTATATAATACTACTTTATTAAGTCTCTTGACTATTAAAAAATACAAAATGATCCCTCAACTATAGGAAGTTACTTTGTTGAGTCTGTAGACTATTAAAGTTGCAAAATAGTCACTTGGTTATTCATTATGTTCCAAATTTATCATTTTCTATTAACATGTTGACTAAGTTATGATAGTCATTTGAGATTATGAGATCAAATTTAATCATATCATAGTTAGCGAGTTAACGTACAGCTTAGACAGTTATCAAAATTTTAACGGAAAGGTCGAATTTGAAATATAATGAATAATCATACGATAATTTTGTAATTTTTAATAGTCGAGAGATTTAACAAAAACAACTTATAATAATTATTTACAACCAAAAGGTTTGTATTGGCATTTCCTAACTAAAATCATGAATAAAGTAGAAAGCCACTAGAAATTGCCCATTTGTGATTATATAATTTTATTAACGCTAACAGAAACAACTCCAAATTTTCTATAATCTGTCTGTTTGAGAAAAGAGTGAGGATTTGAAACCCTGCTTGATTATTAGCACTTGAACAGCTCAAAATCTCATATTTTATAACCATTTCCAGCTTTACAACCTCTTCAATTTAATTTGTTTTATTTATTCGTCATCTCTACCAGTCTACTACCGATCTCAAATCCCCCTTTTGTTTCTAGTTTCCATTCGATTATAAATAAACTATTATATAAATAATACATATTGTTATATATATATATATGACATATGATGGGTGAAAAGGGAGATGTTGATGAAGAAGAAGAAGAAAGAATATGCAAAATGTCCTCAAGTTTCTGATTATGTTTCTCTCTGTGTGTTGTTATTGTGTGAAGGCAATAGTAATTAGAAGGAGAGGCACAAGCGGAAGAAGTGGCTTCTGTGTATGTTCATTCACACCTCATCGATACCCATTTTCTTGTCTTCTTCTTCCCCATGAAACCCATTGTCTCCTTCTTTTCACCCACTGTTTTACCCTCCCCTTCCTCTACTCCGCCGTCCGAGGTGCCCCGGATGAGCTTCTCCGCCACCCACCACTGCTCCGGTCAAAACAAAGCAAAGCTCGTTGTTATCATGGGCGCCACCGGCGCCGGGAAGTTCCGTCTCTCGATCGACTTGTCGGATCATTTTCCTCGCTCTCAAATCATAAACTCCGACAAAGTGCAGGTTTACAACGGGTTAGTTAGATATAACGACGAACAGAATCTCTATGGAGGAGAGGAAAGGGGTCCCACACTTCCTGTTGGTGGACTTCGACTCCATCGACGCTGACGTGGCGCCGTCGCAGTTCCGTTAGACGGTGGGTTTCTTCGTTGCCGATAATGCTTATGGTTTGTTTTCTGTAATATCTCCTAGCTGAATTTGAACACCTTGAAACAATTTTACTCAATTGAAATGATGGAGTA